GCAGGAGCACTCTCGTTCGATGAATTTGGATACAAAATCTTGGATGTGCCGAAGTCTGAAATGCAAGCCTCGTTGTCTAAGTCGAGGAGAATATTTTTGCTTGATATGTCTCGATGAACTATAGGGGTTGAGCAATCATGATGCATATATGATAAAGCATGAGCCACACCTTTGATTATATTCACTCTCTTGGTCCAATCCAATGTTCTTGCAACTTCGTTTCTCAAGATTTCGAATAGATTACCTCTTTCTAGGTACTCATAAACTAAAAATGAGTGTCTTTTATGTGAACAATACCCGTACAGCTTCACAATGTTCCGGTGCCTTATTTCAGTCAACGCCTTCACCTCGTTTAGAAAACTATCGCGATCAACCATATCGGCTGATGAATGAAGTTTCTTTACAGCAACGGTCTCGTTTGATGCCAACTTTGCTTTGTACACACTTCCACATCTCCCCTTTCCAATACAAAATGCTTCATTGAACTCTTGTGTCACCTTTAGGATTTCATCATATTTTCCCTTTCCATTGAAAGCCCATATGGAAAAGAATTCCATGTCATGCTCCTCTACCCGTTGGTTTTTCGATGACATYCTCTTYCTTCGATGAGAATAGATGACCATTCCAACGAATATACCAAGTAAAAGTGCTCCGAGAAGAGGAAGTGAAACAATGAGTGCAAGTTTCCGGCCCTTTCTTGTATTACGCCCTTCCGCTATCAAATCATTGTCGCATTGTTGTAAMCCSGTAATGTTACCACATAAACCTTGGTTCCCTTGTAAGCCTTGTAGCGAAATATTCAWAAAGCCTTTGCTATTAGGAATGGGACCTTGCAAGCGATTGTAGGATATGTCAATGCTCCACAAAGCGTTCATTGCTTCCATGGACTTTGGGATAGAGCCAGATAGTTGATTGTGAGAGAGATTTAGCTTCTCCAAACTACTCAAACTTSCTATTTGTGTTGGTATTGTTGATGTGAGTGAATTGTTGCTTAGATCAAGATCTGACAAGTGAAACAATCGACCTAATTGGATTGGAATTTCATGAACAAATCTGTTGTCCCCCAAGTACAACTGAAAGAGATTTAAACAATTCCCCAAAGTGTAAGGGATGGACCCATCGAAATTATTCTTCGACACGTCCAAGAGAGAGAGCTCCGTAAGTGATCCGAGTTCTAGGGGTAGGGCACCCGAAAGCTGGTTGTCTCGCAAAACCAGCGTTGCCAAACGATTCATCCTTCCGAACTCCATTGGGATCTTTCCAACCAGATGATTAAATGAAAGATTAAGCATAACAATTTGAGTAGAATTGCCAAGTGATGGAGGTAAGCTACCACTGATATTATTTCCTCCAACATGCAATGATGTTAGATTCTTGCACTTGCTCCAACTGTCAGAAAGTTCCCCATAAACCTTATTGTCACCGAGACTGATGAACTGAAGGTGAGGGTAGACACCAAATATTTCTGAAACATTTCCAGTGAGCTGGTTTCCATCTAATCGTACTCTAATTAGCGTTGAACAATTGAACAAGCTCCTGGGCATTGTTCCCGTCAACTTATTACGACTTGCAAGCAACAACTGTAATCTCCCTCCATTACATATTGTATCAGGTAAAGAACCTGAAATTCTGTTTTCTGAAAGTTCTACTACAACCAACTTGAGATTTCCTAACTCTTCAGGAAGAGAACCAGAAAACTGGTTATTTCTAAGATGGAAACTCTCTAATTGTAGAAGGTTGCCAATTGACTTCGGAACGGAACCATTGAGCTGATTGTTACTTATTTGCAGATTGACTAGGGATGACATGTTTCCCAGATCTTCAGGAATGGGACCAGAAAGATTGTTGGAATAGAGACGCAGAAAGATAAGGGATTGAAGACGACACAGAGAATTCGGGATTGAACCCGTGAGACTATTGTTGTAAAGGTTTAGCAATTSAAGTGAACTCAAAACACCTATTTCTGGAGGAATAGAACCGTTTATCYGATTGYTAAACAGATTCAGTMTGATCAACTTGTTAAGCTTTCCAAGAGTGTCTGGAATAGGCCCKGTTAACAGGTTGTTCTCCAAATGAAGCCCAGTTAAATTTGTGAGGTTTCCTAACTCATAAGGAATGGAACCAAAGAGTTCGTTATCGTTGAGAAATAGATAACTAAGGTTGGTCAAGTTRCCCAGACAGAAAGGGATTTCACCACTAAGAGTATTCCCATACAAAGCAAGCCCAGAAAGAGACTTCATACGGCATATCTGGTGTGGRATTGAACCATTCAAGTACTGGTTATCAAACAAGTGAAGTGTCTCGAGATTCTCCAAGAGCCCAATTTCTGGAGGGATGATACTGGAAAACTGATTTCCGCTAAAATCAAGATAAACCAGTTTTGACAGGTTACTGATCCCWGGTGGGATGACCCCAGAAAAGTTGTTGAAACTTAGTTCGAAATGTGTGAGGTTGGGAAATGATGGAAACGAGAAGGCATTCAATGTACCTGTTAAACTTGAAGATGAGAGGTTCAATCTCGTTATGCTTCCATCGGAATTGCAAGAAACRCCGTACCAATAGCACGGAGACGTAGATTGCATCGTTGGAGTAGAAGAACGGTTTTGAGTACCGTTTGGAAGAGAAGACATCCATGAAGGTAATACGGAGATGTTATTTTGGTGTTGCAKGCTTTCTTTCCATTTAAGAAGAGCAGTGACTTCACCATCMGAACCATAAGCAACAATTGAAGAAAAAGAGATTGTAGCAAGCACAAGAAGACATAACTGCATGAAAATGGCCTTCTCCATAGCTAGAGGTTCTTTCTTTTTGTGTTTTGATGTCTAAGACAAAAGTGTCAAAACAATTCCGATTTATACAACCAATGGAGGAGATGTTGCATTCACGTCCTAAAAATGAATTTACATCATCTATAAACGAAAAATCATCATATTTTAATGCAATTTTAAGATTCAAATCACATGTTTTTTTTTAATCACATGTGATTCCTACATAATATAAGCAACTTTGACTYTGACTTTATTCTTTTATTCTTATTGGACTTTTCGAAATACTTTACACACCTGTTACAAGACACATTTGTTCTTGAAGGATTGCATAAGAGATAACATTACCATAAAATTGGGTTTATAGGATGTTCCCAATCTCTAAACGTTTCAATAGACCGCTTTATAGGACATAGTTTATATGACCGAAATATAAATCGTCTTATCTAAAGTTTTTGTAATAAATTTATATGACGCTTTTAGAGAGTGTCCTATAAACTCATTTTGTTATTGGACACTTGTTTTTATAGGATATTATTTTCAAATAGTGTTCTATAAAGTTACTAATGGGACGTTTTATATTAAAAGTGTCCTAAAAAACTTATTACAACATCAAAAACGTCATATAAACTTATTAGTAAGACTTCTATCCTTTTTCTCTTTCTTTCTTACTAGATTCCCCTGCCCCCTATATTCAATTAAAAGACTAGAAAGATTCTATAAATTAAGTCATATAAAGATGTCTATTATAACGCTTAAAAATTGGGAGTGTCCTATATAAACCCGATTTTGGTGTAGTGACTGTATGTGATTGGTGAACGGATAAGACATATAGAATTTGAGACAACTGATTCTGATTTCTTCTTCCATTGTTTGAAAATACGTATGTTCTGATATTCGTGTATAACTCCAGATATTTTACTCTAAATATACCATGCATCGGGTAATTAGGCATCCATAAGAATAGTTTTCATGTTCATGCTACAATTGTATATAAATCTCTTAATTACGATTAAGGAGAGTCATTAAGGAAAAAAGAAATTAATGGTTGTATGTATTAAATAATAACCAATGTGATCAAACTTGTATGATTATGAATTTCTAGATCAGAGTTTGTTAATCACAAAAATTAACGGTTTTATCATATAAAAAGACGAGTTTACAGGATACTTCTCAAAAATGGCATATGAAAATAGCTAATACGACACTTTATTTTAAAAGGTCACAAAAAAAACTTGTTGAAACGCCCAAAACATCTCATATAAACTTATTACAACATTTTTAGATACGAAGTTTTATAGTTTGGTCCTATAAACTTAAACCTATAAAGTATCGTTTTAAGACAATTAGATATTTTTGGCGTCCTATAAAACCAATTTTATTATAATGTAATCTTAAAAGCAACTTATTAAACGTTAGATATTAATTGGTAATACATAATTGCTTAATTTTAAGTTTACACGTAATTATTGTATAGTGTAATTTCTTAAAACCATTTGAATCAGTAAAACTAATTAATAATCAACCGATAAATTCATTTAGATAAAGAATAATGATTAAGCTCTATTAATACCATATGACACTTGATTATCATTTTTATCAAAAACAATATTTCATCACTAAACACTACAATAAAATCGGGTTTATAGGACACTCTCAATTTCTAAGCGTCATAATAGACCTCTTTATAAGACTTGGTTTATAGGATCAAAAAAAATAAAACGTTTTATCTAAAAACATTGTAATAAGTTTATATGACATTTTTTAATGTCATAATAAGTGTTGTAGGACACTTTTAATATAAAGGGTCTCATTTGTAACTTTATAAGACACTATTTGAAAAAAATGTCCTATAAAAACAAATGTCCTATAAAAGTTTGAGTTTATAGGATATTTTTGAGAAAGTGTCCTATAAAGTTGCTAATGCGACACTTTGTATTTAAAATGTTATAAAAAAAACTTGTTAAAACGCCCAAAAACGTCATATATACTTATTACAACACCTTGAGATAGGACACTTTATATTTTGGTCCTATAAATAAAATCTTATAAAGCGGTTTATTGGGACGTTTAGAGAGCCAAGTACCTATTTGGCTTCTGCAGATGGTGAAGGTAATGCGATATTAACGTTCATTAAGCTAGTTTATTTGTAATAATTAATAACATCAAGTATATATATATACTAGTTGTGTACCCGCGCAATGCGACGAAAGCCATGAATTTTAACGATTTTGAAGTTCCGCTGATTTTGTAAGATAAGATTTAACGATGATATAGGTTACACTTGGTCTTTACATATTAATACAATTTGAATAAATACGAGTTATGGTTTTGGGTTTTTAATAATTTAAGACTTGAGCTTTAATCATAAACGGAGACCCAAATGACCAGGCATGTTAATAACAAACCCAAGGGCTTGAATCGGTGACAATAGGATAGGTGTTGCACAAGACCTTTGGCTTTGGCGATTTGAAATAACACAAAACGGTCAAATCATTTGCAAAATCACATTGTAATTTTACAATAACGATCAATGCAAAGATGTGAAATTCAGTAGTCACGTGAATCACATGTGACTTTACACGTGACTTCAATGTAAAATCACATGTGATTCAACCATTTTCATATTCTTTTATGAACCTAGTGTTTTTTTTTTTTGTGTATGGTCAGATTCATGGAAAACCGCAAACAAGATGAAAAAAAAAACAGAGTAACACTCTGGTAACTGTTATCACAACCAACAATAATATTCCACAAACATTGATCAGGCAAAATTCTCAATTTGGATTGATCATCATCCTCAAAGTAGCAAATGTCAAAATATCACATTGGGGATCTTGAATCATGACCCTCTTGAGAAGATCCCCTTCGAAAATAATGAAAACAACCAAAGAAAAAGATGATAATGTTTCTTGTTTGCTAATCGTAACCATATGGTACGTATAGCCGAATTTGAAGAAGAATGACAACGATGAAGAAAAACAACGAGAAAAACACACGTTTTGTATCGTTTTCTTAGCCAATCTTGACTCATACTACAACAAAATCGAGTTTATAGGACGTCAAAAAAATCTAAATGTCCTAATAGACAGTTTTATAGGACTTCATTTATTGGACCAAAAAAATAAAGGGTACTATCTAAGGCATTATAATAAGTTTATATGACGTCTTTGAACGTCTTAACAAGTCTTTTAGGACACTTTAATTACAAAACGTCCCATTAGCAATTTTATAGGACACCATCTCAAGAAGTGTCCTATAAAACAAGTGTCATGTAAAAAGATAAGATTATAGAACGCTTTCCCAAAAATGTCTTATAAAATTACTAATACGACGTTTATATTTAAAGTGTCCTAAAAACTTGTTAGGGCATCCGAAAACGTCCTATCAACATATTACAATGTTTTTATATATGATGATTTATATTTTGGTCCTAAAAGGTTAAGTCTATAAAGCGGTTTATTATGACACTTAGATATTGTTGTCATCCTATATATAAATCTAATTTTATTGTAGTGTCAATAACTATCAAAGAGGCGGTCTAGTGATTTCTTGTACCGCATAGTGCAAAGTTCTTTTTAGTTTTCTTAGACTATTTTTAAATTATGTAATATGTATTTAGAAATGAATGTATTTGAACTTTTTAATTGTTTGGACTACGCTCACATATCATTGATTATATAATAAAATTTTATTCACATAATTATTTGATTGTAGGTGTAAAGTGCGTTGGATACAAACTGCACAAACCGCACCAGATATCGCAATGCGGTTTTTTTTTTTGTGGTTTGAGACATGTAGTGCGGTTTGCGTTTTGGGAAAAAGGTCAAACTGCATATCAGGTGCGGTTTACGATTTGGTCTCAAACTGCAACACTAACACCCCTACTCATGCATCCTCCTCAATTTTGTCACTACAGTAATATTAGATTTATAGAACGCCACAAATCATTAAATGTCCTAATAGTCTATTTTACAAGACTTCAGTTCTGAAGACAAAACATATACGACAATGTAAAAATGTTATAATAAGTTTATAGCATGTTTTTGGCGTTTTAAATAGTATATGACCCTTTTGAAATAAAACGTCATATTAAAAGTTTTATATAAAATTAATTAAAAAGTGTCCTATAGACACAAACATCCTATAAAAAAGATGCCTTTTAAACTTTTCTCAAAAATGTCATTAAAAAAAAACTAACATGACGCAATATTTTTAAAAGCATACTAAAAACTATTTAAGATGCACCAAAATGTCTTATCAACCTACTCTATACTTTAAATATGATACATATAGGTTTGATTATATAAAATAAGTTCTATAAAGTAGTTTATTACGATATTTATTAAATACAAACGTTATATAAAGTAGTATATTAAGACATTTATAAAGTTGTCGCATTTTACGAACCCCATTAACTATAGTACGTCCTGGGTATTTTCATATTCTGGTGAAATTATAATCTTTCATCCTTATTGAATCCATCTTTATAAACATGAGTGTGTTCTTGGATGTGATTTCTAGTCCAAGAGCTTGAATAAAGATCATAATCAAAATACTGTAGTACTATATATATATATATATATATATATATGTGTGTGTGTGTATTTATGTCAGTGTCTAGAACAATAATGATTAAGTTACTAACAACTTAAATTTAAATATATAAAAGTGTATATATATATATATATATATTTATATAAGTGTATATATATATACTTGGAATCACGTGAGACCAGCTTGTTTTCGTGTGACTCGTGAGACAACTTGAAACTTCACAGCAAAACGCTGTGAAGGTAACATTCACAGTGTTTTTGTTGTGAATGTTCGATTTTTTTTACCTTCATAGCATTTTGCTGTGAAGTTTCAAGTGTAAAAAAATGGTCTCAACGTGAATCCAACCCTCTATATATAATATATATATATATATATATATATATATA